AAAGACATGTGAGGTAGAAAATAATGATTAAATTTTTTATTTAAATTTATTGGGTGAATTCACTCCTAAAGTTCACCAATTATTTAGAGAAAAAAAATAAAAAATTAAGTTCTTAGGGGGCGTTTGTTTCAAGGTGTCAAAATTTATTCCTTGGAATTACTATCCAAAGAAAATAAATGTAAGAAATTTATTCCAAGGTATTCTTCTCAAAAATTGTTTGGCAAAAATTTTACTATTCTCAGGAATATTGTAATTTTTATTAATTTATTTAAAAATAAATATAAAATTTCATGGAAATTAACTTTCCAATCCTTTAACATGGGAATAATTATATAAGAATAAGAGAAGTTATAAGAAATTATTTTGTTCTTTTGAATCATTATATCCAGGAATAATTTTTTTCAACCCTGTAACAAATATAGGTTTTCTCACTTTTTACCTACGTATTCTCAAAAATGTAATTTCTAAACTTGAAACAAACACACCTTAAGTTTAAAGAAGAAGAACGAAAATTAGTAATAGATTAGTGTCTAGTAAATTTTATCATTTTTCGCTTAAATTTCAGTAAGTTCATATCACTTAATTTATTATATTTATATATTTTTTTTAGTAATTTTAATGTCTATTAGAATTGTTTCGCTATATCCATTTTTGTGGAAGTTGTTGATTAGTAATTTTTTCATCATTGGTGAAAGTTGTTACTTCCTAGTGCTATTAGGAAGACTCTGCTATTTATTTATTTTTTGTTATTCTTCTTCTATGGAATTAGTTTTGTTGGATGTTTGTTAGTCATTTCATAAGAAAATGGTATCAAGAATTTTGGTTGACTTGTTTTTTTTTTTTTTACATTAAGAATGGAAAAAAAAAAAGTCAAGAACCCAATATAATTAAATTCAACTCTATTAATTATAAATTTTAAAGAGCTCTTATGGATGACATCTTAAGATTTTTGTAAAAAAATTAAGAAATGTAGTAATAGTGTCAAGACATTACACTTTTATTATATTAGTTTTATAAATATGTTGGAAGTAGTGTAAAGAGTAAAAATTAAAAGATATAATTAAAAAAAAAAATTAAATTGAAAAATGAGAATAACATTTATTTTAAAATAAAACTTATTTGTTAAACTAATATTTATTTTAAAATGGAGTAGTAAAAACTCGAGTGATCTTGCTCACAGAGCAAAAGACAAACTAAGTAATAAATTTGATATAGAATGAAAGAAGATGAATCAAAAGGTAGGTGTTATAATTAGACAATAGTTGAACTTGAATGTATATCTATATATTGAAGTAAAAAATGATGAAGAGTAAATGTGAAATAAACTAAGAGAATTGTATGGGTGCAAGAATGTGCAAAATAAAAAATATTTAATCTCAAAATTTGCTATTATAAAATACAAGGATGTTGACTAAATGGAAGAACATACGAGTGGATTTTAGAAGATTGTGAATTGATTGACATCAAAAGATATTAAGATAGAAGGTGAGTTGAAATCTTTATTATTGCATAGTTCCTTGTCAAAAAAACTAACCGTTTTTATAACTCAACATTTTAATAATTGGACCGCAATTTTTAATCACCACAATTCATCTCTCTCTTGTCTTATGAGTCTCTTGTGTAACAACAACTTGAACTTTTACTCCAAATTCGACCCAAGAACCTTTCTTACACCAATCTTTTATCAGATTTAACTTTCAACATCAAAGTTAATTACAAATATACAAGAGAACTATGTTCTTAAATTATATTTTTAGAACTATAAAAAAATTACACAATTCTTAATATAAATCTTTCACTTCTCAATATTAAATCAACGTATAATGAATAGAAAATACTGTTAGAAAACGAATGAGTGAGATAGAAGAGTAGTTTAGCCATAATTTTTTTGCTTTAGAAGTGAGTACAAGGCTCTTCACTCTTTTATATAGGAAAAAAATTTACATAAAAAGAAAACAATCGATAAACTCTGCTCGATTTCTAATCGATTCGGCCACAACACTAATTGATTAGACCTAACAAAAATGAAATAATTAAGCCAAATTCTTTCCTTATCGAATATGAGGTGAGCTTACTCCTTAATAGATTAGAAATACGTTCTAATTGATTAGACAACGAATCTTGCTTTCCTAATTTGTCAAAATCTCTCTTTAATCGATTCGGTAAGCGTCAAGATTGATTTAGCGTGTGTATGTATTGTTAATACCTCAAAAATTACTCTTGCTTATTTTACACACCATTGATTAAAAAAAAATAAAACATTAAAGCGCAAGACTAGACGAGCTTTCATATCTTTAATTTCTTTTGATAGCGATTTTCAAATATGACTCAACTTATTTGCTCTAAACATTAGAACTTGATCAAATTCACTTTTTGATATCTTCTTTCTGATGATGCATATGATTGATGATATTTATGATTAACTTTGTTTTACTCTTTGGTCATCATCAAAATCACTTAAGTTTTATGATATGCCCAATACATAGAACCACAACTCTACCTTTAACCAATATAGAACTTGAGATTCTTTTCAATAAAAGTGTATTTTAGAAAAGTACATACACTAGGCTATCAAACAATATAAATGAATTATTTTATCCTATAAACTTCATATAGTCTACTTGCTAAATTTTAAACAGTGCCACAAAGTGTTTTAAAAAGAGTGGTCTAGTACGCTATTCAATCATTTTTTTGGTGACAAGAACTATTTTTCAAAATCATTTTAAATATGAAAATAAAGATGTCTGGAATCTGGATCCCAAGAGCATGAAGTGCAAGATGTAAAATCATTTGCTTCCCGTGAAATATGCAGCTCATTCAAAAGCCATTTTGCATTTACATAAATTATATACTATATGAATTTAATTAACATCAATTTTCAATGATTCTTTATGGGAATTGACTACTTGAAGTATGATAATTGTGAGATAAATGATGTAAACACCAAAGATAGGTATATATGTGTCTTTCAAATGCATAAACAAACTAACTAAATTGGTGATCATGTTTCTCTTACATGCTTTCATCAAGAGCTTTTACGCAATATAATCCGCAAATAATAAGTTATATGCAAATCCTTTGAAATATATGAAACATGAGACTTGCTATAAAAGAGACTATAAAATACTTGGTTGTGCATCAAAGACAAAAACTGCATATAACAGTGCTCCCACAAAACACTATTCTTATACTTGCATACACAGAAATTGACAGAATCTGGAAAACTGCTTTGGAAGTTTACAAGGATATGCTTCTTTATACGAAGGTATTGGACTAGCTAATACTAAACCAAAAGCATTCAATTTTATTGATGAAAGCATGACTAAACCAAAAACAATAGAATTAGATACTGAATATTTCAACTATAATTTAGCAGCACCAGCAATTATGTAAAAAACAGAAGCATGCTTCCTACTTAGGATTCAAGTTATAAACTTTAAGCCTAGGGACCAAACTATTTGAAGATATAGAAGTATTACAAAGAAAAAAAGAAATATTAGGTGGTTGATCTCTATCATACATCTCATTGCCAAACTCCAAACATATGATATTCTCTCAGATTTGTAAGCTATTGTATAATGAATGATTTTTCTACAAAGCATTTATTCAAATACATTCATAGCTTTAACCACCATTTAAATCCATTACATTTCAAAATACAAAGTCTGACAGTCTTACTCAAGACACAAAACAAACAGAACATCTTTAACTTAAAAGACAAACAATTGCCATAAACTAACTACCAAAAATAACAAGTAATGGTTCATTAAAACTTGCAACAAAACATCAAGATAACAACATAACTCATCTATCTGAGTCTTCTTGCTTCTCTCTCAGACTCAAGTAGGGTGAGAATGTCTCCCTCCCTAACTGGTCCCTTCACATTCCTCATGATGTGACGATTCTGATCATCCAAAAACTTCACTCTAACCTGAGTCACCTGTCCTCTTGATCCGGTACGTCCCATAACTTTCACAACAACAGCATGCTTAATCTGCGACTCCATCCTAATCAACCACAATTGTTAAAAAAAAAAGTAACAAAACTATGCATAACAATATTGTCATTAATCTGTGACTAAAAAACTTCTTCTCTTTTTTCAACACTCTCTAAATAAGTTATTAAATCAGCTTCTCATTTTAATTTAAAAAACCATCTTTAAATTATTTATTAATTAGAACAGCATGAAGAAACAAACACCATTAAAAGTGACTAAAAATGATTATTCTATAACATTAGGGTTCATAATCTATAAACATATCAAGGTATGAAAAAAAAACATAATCAAAATCACTAATAAAACAAATCTAAAATCACATCAATTAATAACAGAAACAAATTAACGATTTGCAACATGAAACAATGAAATTAAACACTATAATTAGTTCATTATTCATCAACCACGCAAACAGAAAGAAATCCAAACATATTAAGACAAAAGATAATATGAATTTAAACAAAATATATAGATTTCAAAGGAAAACGTAGAGATGGATGAATAATTCGAAAGAAAGAAACGTACTTGGATTTTGTTGGTGAGATTCAGATTACGGAAACGGTGATGAAGAATGTTTGGGAGGAAACCCTTTATAGCTGCAACAAAAAGTTTCTAAACCCTAATTTCTGTCTTTGCATTTGGTTATTTATAGATCATAACAAGTGTAATCATACTTATGGGCCGGCCCAAATACTTAGCACACTCCAATATTCTTATTCACACCCCACGTGTGCCTAATTCCTCACCACATTTTTAAAGAGACCTTCTTACTTAAACCTAAAGTACAGAGAAATGAAACTTAAAAAAAGAAGAAAAACATTACTGAACCAAAAGTAGGAAGAACGTAGTGAAATGAAGAACGGAATTTTACTCATAAAAAGGGTCAAATAGACATTTATACCTAATACATTGACCATAAACCCAGGGTTTTACTTAGAATCAATGGGTGACGGAATAGTGAGAAAATTGCAATGCATATATTTGGATTTAGTGAGAAACAAGGATGAAGAACATTTTGTCAAACAGTTTACATGCAATCTGTAAAAGTAAAACAATGAGTGCAAATCGTGACCTGAAACAAAAGAGATGGAAAAAGGTGAAATGAGCTCCTAACTAGAACCTTGCTCCGGGACGGGAACGGTTTTGTTTTGTAGGGAGATTCTTCACTTCGAGACTGAAACGATTGTATTCGCTCACTGCTTTTGCGTCGAGGAAAGTAACAAAGATTGGCTGCGATGATTATTTTATAAAAAAAAAAAATACAAATCAATCTGTGTTATATATCTGTCATATTTTCAAAAAGAAATTAAATAAAAAAATGATTTAGTTAGATACATGTCATAATTCTCTTTATATATTATCTAAATATTGTTTAATATATATCTTAAAATTGAATTTTTTAATAATATTTAGGCATACACATAATACGATGAAAAAACAAATATGATGATGAGAGGACGGGGGCGACCAAAAAAGTCGGCGCCACCATCTACGACGAATCAAGTCATGAGAGTAATGGAATCGAGGCTGACGACGAATCAAGTCATGTGAGTAATGGAATCGAGGCTGACGACGAATCAAGTTATGAGAGTAATGAAATCGAGGCTGACGACGAATCAAGTCATGAGAGTAATGGAATTGAGGTTGACGACGAAAAGTATGAAGGAATTACAGACGAAAACGAAGAGGAAGACAATGCATCAAAAACCCTAGAAACGTCGATTGAAAGTACTGAAGCGAGAAAGCTATGGGTGGAAGTGCTTAGTGGTAATCTAAATCCAGGCAATGGCATGAAGATGTCAATGGTGAGGTCGAGGTTGAGATCGAAGAAATTATGGGATTCATCTTTAATCATGTATGTGTTAGGTGGCGAGTTGAGTATGAATGAAGTCAAACAATTCATGTTAAAGATGTGGAACTTTGTGAAATTACCAGATATGTATTACAATGAGGAGAGGTTTTCATCTTGAGATTTCACTCTTTTGCTGATCGGGATGATGTGTTAATGAGAGATGTCATATGTGATAATGGATTTTAAACACTTGGTGTGAATGACTTAGTGTTCCATGATTATAGCATGGAATGTGTGGGGGCTCAATAAAATGGGGAAGGTTAGAGAGATTAGCTCTTGTCTCTTGGAACTAAACCTTTACGTAGCAATTCTTATTGAAACAAGAGTGAAGGAAAACAAAGATGAAAACATTAGGAAGAGGTTCAATCTTCGAGGAAACTACTTAGATAACTACAACAAACATGGAAATGGTATAATATGGATTTATTGGAATGATAATAATGCGAATATCCAGATGATTCGTAATACAGATCAGATGGTTCATTGTGGTGTCTATGACTTAAATGGGAGCTGGTTGTTTTTGGATGACAACTATTTATGCACAAAACCATCTAGAGCAGAGGAGGATATTGAAGTGCTTCATAGTCAACAACATGGGTCGTGGTTCTTATTGGACGACTTCAATAATGTGTTGAAGAGCCAGGATAGAATTACGGGAAGGATTGTCACTGAATCTGAATACAGTGATCTAAGTACTATGATGGAGGCTACTAACTTGTTTGAAATGGATAAATAGTGGGGACCATTATACTTGGTCAAACAAGCAAAGTGATGGTGTGATTTACTCTAGGATCGACAGAGTGATTGGTAATATTGGTTGGCTTCAGAAGAATTACACCCTAGTGTTTCTGACCATGCCCTGTTGTGGCTGAATATTGTTGAAGGTACAAAGAGAAGGAGGAAAACTCAGTTCAAGTTCCTCAATAGTTTTGCTGACTTGGAGGGTTTCTTGAAGGCAGTGGCAGTTACTTGGAATGAGCATATAAATGGTAGACCAATGTATGTTTTGTGGAAGAAACTTCAACGATTACAACCTATTCTGAAAGACGTAAGCAAGCCACTTTCGGATGTCAAGGTGAAAAGGGACAGGTGTGGTGACTTCCACACTACATCAAAAGTTGAAATATCTGGTCAAGGGGAAAATTGTCTGTATTCGAAGAAGAAGAGTTTATGATCAGTCATCTGAATTCATTCAAGTATGTTGAAATGGATGGAGAGTTCGTTGAAACTCCTTGTCAAGACTTTGAGGTGGCCTCTCCCATGGTTTCTATTTCTAAGGCCACTCCCTGTTTACCTTGGGTTTTGGTAAACAACCGCTGATCCTCCAAATGGTTACTTATTTGGTTACTCGCAGGATCGATCAGATTGATCCTAGGACATAGGTTGATTTTGAAGTTTGATTAAGTTGGATAAGGCTTTAAATAAATTGGCTTTAAATGAATTGCATAAAGGAAAGACTTGGTAAAATAAACAAGGCTTTAAAGTAAAAGGTTCGACAAGAATGTAAAGAGGAAAGCAAGTAAATTTCTGGAAAAGTAAATGACTTTAATTGATAAAATTGGTGTTTCACACATACATTTCTCAACAATTCTTTCTCACACGCTGGGTACTCGAATCTATATGAGTGACTTTGTATAGAATTGTGAACACACCCGAGAAACTACATATCTACTCCTATTTATACTAAAACATCCCAAGTAACCGTCGGGCAGTTACACTGCTTCGAGATCAATCCACTTGGCACGTTCTCCACGCTCGACGCTCCAGATCCTTGCACGTTTGCACGTGGTAACTGCTGGAAACCGTTTTCCCTCCAAAAAGCTTGAATTTCAAACTGCTCCACTCTGGACCATCGAACACTTTCGTCAAGAGACATCTTCGACGAGAAACTCCTTCGACGTCGAAGGCAATCAACCTTCTTCCTTGGAAGAAATCTTCTAAGTACTTTGTCATCTTTCGACGGGCATTTCGACAGACTTAGCCAGTCGAAAGCATCTTGCAGCTTTTAATGGCTGACATCAACAAAACAAAGGTGTCGAATTTAGGAGCCAACAAATTGCCCCCCAAGAATGCCTTATTTCGACTCTGAAAGAAAAAGGCATTCTTTGAAACGCCATTCGACACCTGTCTTTCCACGCTTAGTCACAAATTAACTTGTGCACTTTTTGTTGCTTTTTACCAACTATTGGCAATCCCAAGAAAACCATCATTGATTTGATCCTAGGACGTCACTTTCAGTACGGCGTGCAGTACCAAACGTCATTTCAGAATTTGTCATTATGACAATTCCCAAAAACAAGGACGCACGCTGCGTCCCTCTATTTCTGCAGAAACGGCCAAAACAACAGGAGGCTGCCACGCGTCCCACTATCTCCTGCAGCATTAAATGGCATTTAATGTCCTCGTTATTGGGGATTTTTCCCACTACTATAAATAGTAGTAAGTACCCCATTGTGGGACTTTTTACGCCATCTAGCCTTCAAACTTCCCTGTTTCCATACAAGCTTGTTATCTTTGCAGAAACTCTTCCTCTTTCACTTCATCTTCAACCTCATTCCAAACTCAACACCAAACCATGGCCTCTGTTTCTACTGCTCCTAGTGCTAACGCACCAACTGAACATGCTAAACCCAAGGTTTTCGTCACTGCTCCGGTAGTAAATTCTACAGGCAAACGAAGGGTTCCTGAACCTTCTGACATCGCCGTTCGCGATGCTTACTCGCGCCACTTGATGATCCCGGTTGGATACTCCAACCAGATCTTTGAAATGTCTGGCCCCATGAATCCAAGCATCTCTGAGGCTCTGAAGATCAAGAGCTATTTCCCAATAGTCGAGAAACTCAAACCAGTAGCATGCGCCAAGAAAGACGCAGAAGACAATGAAGACCCTGCACGTGAAAAAATCGACCTCCGCTTCTTCAACAGAGGTGTTAGGGTCTTCAGGTCTTGCCCTAACCTTACCTCCGATTATGTTGCTTGGCTAACAAAGTTGGAGAAGCACCAAACTTCGATCTGGAAGGATATGGGAATCTTCGACCTAGTGATGCTGTCGAAGACGGGTTTGAACTACTCCCCAGAGATGCTGATAGCTTCACTGTTGTTCTGGGACTACTCCCACTTTACTTTTCATCTTCCCTGTGGGATGCTAACCCCCACACTCTTCAATGTGGCCGCTATTACTGGCCTTCGACCAACCAGGGATTACTTCGATCCGGAGGAGATGTCGGAGGACCAAATTGGCTTCTCTGAGACCAAACCAACATACACCACTTTCATCAATCATTATCACGACAGGTCGACAGATGCTGTGTCGGATGTCGAACACATAGCGTTTCTAGCCTTATGGCTAACTCGCTTTGTGTTTTGCTCGAAGTCTCTACAGGTGACCAAAAAGATGGTCACTCTTGCTACTCAACTGCATCACCGCCAAAACATCTGTTTGGCAGAACTGATTCTGGCTAGCCTCTATGATTCGATCAGCAATGGGGCAACCCTTCTGAAACATATCGAAGACAGGGCCAGTTTGCTACTCGCTGGGCCTTTTTGGCTACTCCAACTGTGGCTCAACGCCACTTTCGAATCTTTCTTGCCCAAGAAGGTTCAGATAAATGAACAAACTCCAGCGATAGCGAATAGACGCATCGAAGGAATCAGGCTGGCTCTGCTGACACCTACGGATGATGGACTGGAGTTTCAACAAACCTTCACCAACTTCGTTCTAATGTTTGCTCGAAGGAAGGAGTTTGTTTCAACTATGGCTCCATTTGCTCAACGGCGGGTGGGGCCAGCATGGTTCACAAGGCCACATCCAAAGGCGTCGAGTGGTCCCAATGTCGATGAACACACAATACTGTGGGAGGCGTTCCTCACCCCAAGGATCATGCCTCTTTGATTCAAGAGTTCTAAGACTCATTTGAGTCTGATTGCCTACCAACCAAATCTGGTATCTCGCCAGTTTGGTATTATCCAAACCCTACCTTCTCCGATTTTTCAAAGAGAGAAGTCCATGCTGTACTTCTGCAATGATTACACAGAAGAAGCTGCCATCAAGCATATCGGAAGATATGCTGGTCGAACAATCCTCTCGCTGTTTGACTACCAGCTCAATTTCCTTTGTTCACCATCCTTCGAGGAGTGGTGGAGAGGCTATTATGCTGAGTACTTCTTCGACGAGAAGGACTTCATGGATGAGCTGCAGAAGTCTTTTGTCCTTGTGTTGGACAAAATAAAGAAATGTAAGTTCATTCTCTCACATTACTTTTTTGCTTTCTCTTCGACTGCTAGCCTGTTAACCTTTTCTTTGCTTTCAGTTGTTCGAAAGCCTGTAGCCAAAAAGGCTACAGAAGGCCAACAAGGAGGAGGCCCTTCAACAAAACCTCCACCGCCGGCGAAGACTACAGCGCCGGCGAAGACCATAAGCAACCAACAGGGGGAAGGCTCTTCGAAGAAGCCTTCTATATCGGTAACCAGACTTTCATCATTTTTTCTGGCTTTCGACTTTTCACTTTCGATGCAATTATTAAATCGAATTCCTATTGGTTTTTCTAGGCACCTTCGCCCAAGAAACGGCCAGGACTGGTGGTCGAATCTGGGAGTGATGAAGAAAGTGATTCCCCTCCTGCCCCCTTAAAAAGGCGAAAGTTGACGAAGGATGCTTCTGTTCCTGCTCCTGCTCCTGAAGGTCGAACTGTCAGAATAAAGGTTGCTGTGAGAAAGCCTAGGCCACCTCCAGTGATCATCGAGGAGCCAACTGAGGAGGAACTAAACATTCTTCTTAACAAGCCTGTCGAGAGTGACAATTCCAGCCCTGGGGCTGAAGCTAATCCACAGGTAATCTTTTAGACCCTTTTATAACTTAGGTATAGATACCCATATTCGATTGTGTCCCTTTCAATCTCTGAAGATTTGTCTTCTTTCCCTTTTCAGGACACTACTGAAAGTTCTCCGCCAAGGACCTCAGAAACGCTGGAATCTGCTGAACTTAGCAGGCCTCAGGAAAAAGGCTTGGGCAATGACGAAGCCCATACTGAGAATGAGGCCAATGCTGAAACAGTAGAGAAACCAACAGAGGAACCTCTGGTGGAGGCACAACAGCCAGAAACGGTTCAGGCAGTGGAT